TCCACAAGAGGTCCCAAATGAATTGTGATCTAACATTTATCATAAAACTGTTGACCCATTTAAGATTACCAATAACCTCTTAAAATTTCAAAGTGCAGGGGCACCTGGGTGGCTCAGTAGGTTAAACGTCTGCTTTCAGCTCAGGTCATGATCCCAGAATTCTGGGATCGAGCCCTGAGTTGGGCTCCCCGCTCAGCTGGTGGTCTGCTTCTCCCTCTCCTTCTGCCCCTCACCCTACTCATGCATGCGCTCTTGAGCACCCTCTCTCTCCCTAATAGATAGATAAAAGCTTAAAAAAATTTTTTTTCCAAAGGTACTTAGGGTACTTAGTCTTCAATTTACACAATCACTTTGTGGCATTAAACACCACTGTCCTTTCCTTCCTTCTTGAAACTAACTTCCAATCTTGGTTTTTCTGGTGACCTCTTTAAAGGTTTTATTATTACTTTTACAGACTGACCTTTTGTCTTCCTCTTTTGTTTAACTCACCTAAACCCATGGATTTAACTACTACTTCCCTCTTTTGTTTTCCAGTCTTTTGATCTCAACTGTACCCACAGCTTTAACTACCTCTTACATACTAACAAGGCCTAAATCTAAAAACTTAAATCTCTAGCACAGACTTCTCCCCTAAGCTACAGACCCTATCTCCATCTGTATTCCCACTCTCCTCCCTTTTCCTCTTTATTCCTCTCAATCAAGGCCTGTCTCCTATGTAGCCCTCTCCACTCCCTCAGCCACATCTTTGCTCAACCACTTTTTATTTAACATTAAAAACCACTCACTAATATCTATCACTCTTCTAATCCACACTCTACACTGCTGCCAGGTGATGTCACTTTCCCATTTAAATCTTTCAATGGGCCTTACCGTCCCCTTGAATAAATTAAATACTTTAGTATGTCATACATGATCCCCTCACCCTCTCTGCTTCCCAGTCTCTAGCCTTATTTCTGAGCACCTCCCTATTCATTCATTCTACTGAACATACTATTCTTCAATGAGAGACCTATTCTTTCTTCCCTCTACGCCTTTGTGCATTCTGTTCCTTCTCCATTGGTTAAATTCCCTCCCCAACTCAATCACTTCTTCTACAAATAAATTAAACAACTTTTACTGTTTTTTTTTAAGCCCTTTAAGTTTTACTTCTTTCTGTACAAGAAAAAAAATCTCCCTGAAGAATGCTCATGCTGACAGATTTAATCTCTTCAATGAAACTTTTTTTAAATATCAAATCATGAAGCAAAATGTCTTCCTTATGAATTCTAACAAAAAAAAAATTGAAAACAATTACCCTAGAGGATTTATCTGCATGTCCTTAATGTATAATTTTAAGAAGTTCCCCTCACTCTAACTTTACTGCCCTAAATCTTTATTAATACAAGTGTCGTTAAGGTCTTTTAAAAAGCTCTGAACAAAATGTAACCCAGTGTTTCAGTTAAAAGCTTGCCAAAACCAGTTACCGAATAGCATTATTTTCTTGGTAATAACCGATGTGCAAAGAATAATTTTTCCTGGGGCGCCTGGGTGGCTCAGTCGTTAAGTGCCTGCCTTCAGCTCAGGTCATGATCCCAGGGTCCTGGGATTGAGCCTCGCATCAGGCTCCCTGCTCAGCGGGAAGCCTGCTTCTCCCTCTCCCACTCCCCCTGCTTGTGTTCCTGCTCTCACTATCTCTCTCTGTCAAATAAATAAAAATCTTTAAAAAAAAAAAAGAATAATTTTTACTTTTGGGGTTGGGATTGGCTAAGCTAGAAAGTAAAAAATTAAAATATCTAGGTCACACTTCATAGATGGCATGTTTGGGAAAAGTTTATTAAGGGATTATTTCAATTGATTTTTAATTTTATTTATTTTTTAAAGATTTTATTTATTTATTTATTTATTTGAGAGAGAGAGAGAGAGAGATAGGGACAGAGAGCACAAGCTGGGAGGAGAGGGAGAAGCAGGCTCCCCGCTGGGCAGGGAGCCGGGTGCCGGACTCTATCCCAGGACCCCGGGACCATGACCTGAGTCGAAGGCAGCTGCTTAACCGACTGAGCCACCCAGGGGCCCCTCAATTGATTTTAATTTTAAAAACACATTTAAGAACAATCTAAATTCAGAAGCCGAACAAGTTTACTGCAATTGATAAAATGATAATGTCTTCTATTTTTGTTCCTGGAGGCACTCTTGCTCTACTTTGGGTTTGTTGAGGTTATAACGCAGATTTGCTTACACCAAGTTAATGAGGTTATTTCAACCCTCTTTTTTCCTTTACCCTGACCTACACTAAGCATATGCTTATTTTCTTAATCCTATTCTTCTAATGTGACTACATCTTAAAAATAAATGTTTAATAATCCAAGACAACCATAACGTTTGAATTTCTTCAGCAGTATGTATTTTTAAAAGTGAAGACCTCTAACACTATTGCCAATTCTAATACTACCTCCTTAGATACTATGAGAAGCTTCATGGGGGAAAACGGAAAATAAAGTCGTAACTAAAATATTACTTGTGTCACAATGATTTTTGGAAGGCCACACAATCTAACAATATGACATAAGCTACATGTCTTTGCTTTTATACTTTAGAAAGTAAATTTTAGCAGTATTGCAGAAAGGGAAAAAAAAGGAGCACAGGGACAAATATAGCCAAATGTAATCAGATTTCATCCAAATTCTCCTTGACTTTATGTCACTTTATACCATTTAGCAGCTTCAATTCATTCCAAGTGCAAGATGATACATATCCATTGCCTCCATAAGAAAGATGGTGTATGGTCATCAATGAGGTAATGCCTGTAATATATTTTGAAGCTCTAGCACAAAGACACCTTAAAAACAAAACACTTTCTCAACAAATCTGAGGATTTTCACATTAAAAAAAAAGGGTTAAAGATAGTTTACAAATGAATCTGTTAATAAAATATAACACTGACTGGTTCTTTTCATTAGTATTTCAGAAGAGGTGGGATAAAACTTATCAACTGGTGACACAGATAATTACACTGTGATAAACGCTATGAAAATACAGAGTGCCAAATGAGAACTAGGTGGGGGTAGGAGGTGTTTTCACTTGTTATCTCCTTTAATCTTAATAATACTTTTCTCAGGTTACCATCCTTTAATACTTCAGGAAATCAAGGCTTCAGGTTTAACTCAGTTAATTTGTCCAAGTTCACACAACTTATTAAATGAGAGAGCAAGGGATACACGTTTAACTTAAAGACTATGTCAACTCTTTCAAGACTTTGTTAGTATCTGCATGGCTGGTGTCTTCGATGCTCATTCTCCCCTTCTCAGTGACGTTTACCCTAACCACACTACTTGATAGGTCAAACTGCCTCCTTTGATTCCCTCCTACCCTTCACTACTTTTTCTTTAGAAGTATTGATCACTTTCTAAATATTAGATATTTTTAAAATTTTGCATATTGTCTGTGGTCCTCTGCTAGGTGGCAAGCTCTAGGAAACTAGGGATCTTTGCTTGTTTACAGATGTACCCCCAAAAAATCTAAAATAGTAACTGACACAAAGTCAACACTGACCCAGTTTTCCTTTACCACTTTTCACCTTTAACTGTATGCATAAAGAACTTGTGTAACCATTCTCCCTTTTAATTCTAGGGAAAACAAAACAGAACCTATTTCTGAGACAAATTAACATCAAAGTACTATCTGAATTTAGTCTAAAACTCTGTTTAAAAATTAAGGTCATAATAACCATTAAAAAATTCTAGCCAGGATAAAAAGTGATGAAGACACATGTTAAACAAACCGAAATGTGAAGGATGCAAATGACTATGAAAGATCAATAATACAACTTCAGGATAGAAAAGACTTCCTTTAAAGAGAAAAAGCCAAAATACATTTGACCAGGAGCACCTGGCTAGCTCAGTCAGTAGAGCATGTGACTCTTGATCTTGGGGTTATGAGTTCAAGCCCCACCTGGGTGTAGAGATTACTTAAATCTTAAAAAAAAAAAAGAAAGAAAAAAAAAATATTTGACTTTAAAACTAAGAACTTTAAGTCATAAAAAGACACCATATTTAAAGTGAAAAGACATGCTAAAGACTAGAAGATATTTGTAAAAGCTACCAAGCATGGCTATCCAGAATACATAAAAAGCATTTACAAATCAGTAAGATAAACAATCCCATTAAAACAACAACAACAACAAATAAGCAATTCACAGAAAAGGAACATGATTGCCCAGAAATATAAATCTAAGTGTTCTCAACTACAAGACTAACTGGGGACATGCAAATAAAAATTCCAATGAGGTACCACACTTCACATACTCCTCAGCATGGCAAGCCTTAAGAAGTCTAACAAAGTATTTGAAAGGTGGGAAAATAGATCCCCTCGTCCATTACTGAAACACTTGAGAGTAAATAAGCTCAGATATTTATAAACAGGACTTAACACAAAGTATATTTGTATTGATTTTTTTTTTTTAAGATTTCGTTTTTATTCATTGGAGAGACAGACACAGAGCATAAGCAGGGGGAGAGGTAGAGGGAGAGGGAGAAGCAGACTCCCTGCTGAGCAGGGAGCACGATGAGGGACTCAATCCCCACCTGAACCGAAGGCAGACGCTTAACCGACTGAGCCACCCAGGCACCCTGTATTGCTTTAATATAGATGAAGATTTTAAAGAACGCAACCACTGCGTAAAGAGAGAAGACTGCATTTTTTTTTTGTCCAAACTTTACTGAAAATAGTTTATTTCAGAAACTCATTTATCAACAACAGTGCCACCATCGGTGTCTGAACAGCCAATTCAACACACCTGTTTTAATTTCCAACAGTAGGGGTGCCTGAGGGCTCAGTGGGGTAAGCGTCTGCCTTTGGCTTAGATCATGATCTCGGGGTCCTGGGATCTAGCCTGCTCAGCAGGAAGTCGGCTTCTCCCTCTCCTGCACAACTCCCCCCAAGGTGTGCGCGTGCACTCTTGCACTCTCTCTCTAATGAATACATAAAATCTTAAATAATAATAATAATTTGCATCAGTAGCTTACCCTATTCATGGTGATATTAAACACTGGTGCAAAGTATTTGACTTCTCTTTCTTCCAGCAGTGCTTCTTGGATTTTAATGTGCACACAAATCACCTGGAAGTCTTCTTAAAATTCAGCATGAGTTAGTAGGGCAGGTCCTGAGATTCTGATTTCTAACAAGCTCCCTGAATCCTGATTTTACTAGTCTACTATCACACTTAGCAAGATTAGAGTGTGGTTTGGTCTGAGCATCTACACAGTGAAATATATTACTGTTTTAAGTTCTTATATTTTAGTAAGAGCATTACTTTAAAATACAATGTAAATTTAAGTTTTAATTTTATTTGAATTTCATTTTAGGGCAGAACTGGAAATGTTATAAAATGCTTCTATAAAAATGGGATATAGGCTCAAGAACCACTGCCCTAGAGGAAGTCTTGCACATGTACCTAAGTAAACATATACAAGAATATTCCCCACAGTGTTTTAATAAGCAACTGGAAAAAACTAAAATGATCAACAGAAATCTGATAGTCACATAATGAAACACATACCATTATCGCAGTAAAAATAAACTAGAATTACCTGAATAAACATAGATAAATCTTGGCAAATAGAGTTTAGAAAGCAGGCTACAGATACAAACATACTTAAATAATCAAAGAAAAACTATATAATGTTCAAGGACATAAAGGCATGCAGTTAGGTATAAACACATGGATAGGAAGGATGCATTCTATTTTTTTGGTTAGTGGCTGGGAGTAGGGAAAGAGGAAGTAGGATTTCAGAGGGGTTTTCGAAGTACAAAGGAAGCTTCATTTTGTTTTGTAGTTTTATTTCTTCAATTGAGTAATGGGTGCATGAATATTCATTATATTGTATGTTGCCAATACTTATATTGTTCTCATTTCATCTGAATTGGCAAAAACTGCTGGGTCCAAACAGCTGTTTGGAAAACACTGCTCCAAAGCAAAGGATTCAGGGCTAGAAGTCCGAAAACCCAGGTTCTGCTTCTTACAAATTATGTAGCTTTAGGCAATTCAAAGAATTAACTTCTCTGGGCTTTATTTTATCTGTAAAAATGTCATAAAACATCACTTTTCCTCCCCAACTCACAAGGCTAGGGTTGAGAGGCATAATATAGGGCAATACATATATGACAATTTGTTAACAGGGTAGGAAAGGTAGAAGTAAGTTTTGAGAATTAAGAACAAAAACTTGGATATACTAGAAATAAAATCTACCAGTAAAGAAACCAACCAAGCCAATTCGTCACTCTCTATTTTCTCATCATCACGGATTCTAAGGATATTGACAGCAATCTTAATATGGGGGAAATTCTGAGTTATCAATTCTTAGATGATGGCACATAGGATAGGCATTCTCCCTATTATAACTCTCTTTCCTTAGGCTAATTCTTCACCAAGGAATTGAAATTCATAATACCAAAATAAGAGATGTGCATCGAAAAGTACTCTTATTAATAAACTAAATCAATGTCACATAATCGAAGTAACTGTTGGTTCTCACCGCCCTTTCTATAAAATGTGCAGGTAACACATTTTATTGGCCCTATATTACAGATGGAGAAACTGACTCAGATTGCTTGAGTTTGTAGACCAATTCAGTGACAGAACTTGGGACACTAATTGCTTAGTTGTTCTGTGCTCATAAAGTTATCAAAGACATTATTTTGCCATGATGTTTTATGATAATTTTGTTTGTCACAGGAAACAAATTCTTTGTCAGATATCATTTCACACATATTTCAAAATGGGCAAAGATACTCAAGGAAACAAGCACTTACCAACTACAGTCCTGCACAGCACGGGACAAAATTAAAACTGCCTAGCCTGCTAAAAATCTAATCCTATCCTTCCCAATTAACCTTATTAATACTGGAGCAGGAGAAAAGAGAGGTCAAAATATTGAGGTGAGGGTGCTATTCATTGGCTCACGGACCTCAAATAATACAGCAACTACCGCACAACAGGCATTTTATTTCTTTTATTAAGTTGAAACATGGCTCTCTCTCCTGTTCTTTAAGCCACCACCTCTACTCTCACAAAAATTAACCAACTAGAGTGGGGCAGTCCCTAGTAAGAACACTGGTAATTATGATGACTAAAATCTTGGTTACGATGAGATACTAGATAGGTTACACAAATGAGTTTATGCCATCAAAATATGAAGAGACAAACTATGGAGAAAAGTTCATTTTACTCTAACTTTTCCTGTTAATGTAAACAGATACACCCTATTACAACATGTACCTGACTTTTTACTCAGGCTCATTAGGCAGTTCCAAATGCTGACCCAAGATCTCCAAAATTCTTTTTATGTATTGGAGCCTTAAAAAAAAAAAAAAATCAATGAATCATCTTGCAGATGAGGTATTATATGCACATATATTACGAAATACATTAAACAGAAAACACCTTTCCATAAAAGCCAAAATTTAAAGGTCACCCTCTCTGTATTCCGTTATTCATCTTTTTGCTTATCAAGCCCACCTCACGCAGACTTCCATCAAAGCATCGTTTAAAAAAAAAAAACAACCAAAAAGTGTGTCTGGCATTGGCAGAAATCTCCCCAAGGATCCAAGCTTTGAACTTTTTTTTTTTTTTAACAAAAAGCCGAGGTTAAACTCACTTTTCTTTGGCGGGGGGGGGGGGGGGGGGGCGGGGGCTTCTCAACGATACATTCGAACTCGACACAACTTTCGCTTCAGGGTTAAAAAAAATTTCCAAACAAAACCTCTCATTTTCCAACTCAAAAGCAGTTACCGAGGAGCCCAACCTAGGGTTCGGAAACAGGTTAAGATTCAAGTGGAGCCACCCAGAGAAAAAGAACCCTGAGCCGGCCCTCCGGGAACACAAATCATCGAGAACGGGGCCGATTCGATCTCAGATCGAGGCTGGCACACACGAGGACCTTCAGGAGAAAGCTTTCGGGCATCGCCAGCCCCACAGGGAGCCAGGCAGGAGAATGTGAAGCTGCCCCATCTTTCCGTCCACGGGGAGGAAAGCAAAACAAGTGAAACGAGACCCTTCGGCGCCAGGAGGACTAAGACCTTTCTCAGTCCGGCTTTCCGTCTCTCTCCCGCCCCCAGACTCCCGTAGCCCTCGCTCGCAGGGACTCTCCTACCCACCTCTCCCCTTCACGGAACCACCGTTGAAACCCAAACCAGACCCGATCCGAAGCGGCTTCCCCGCTTTCGCCGCCGCCGAGAGGGATCCCGGTCGCCAACAACAAAGACGCCTCCCGCTCCCCTCCCCCTTCCCGGCCCGGGTTCGTCCCTCCCGCGCTGCGGCTCCGGGCCTACCGCCCCCTGCCCGAGCCCGGCCGCAGCGCCCGGCCCGCCGCGGCCCCACGCACCTGCACCTCAGGGGCCGCGGCCAAGGTGTCGGGAAGAAAGGGCCGGGAGAGAGCCTCTGCCGACGCGCTGTCCTCCACAAGGTGCGACCCACGTTGCCGCTGCCGCCGCCGCCGCCGGACTATCCCGGCCTGCGGGCGGGCGCGGCCGAGGAGCGGGGACGAGGGCCGCAGCCCCCGGCGCCGGGACGAGGAAGGACGGCGGCGCCCGAGGGGGCCGGCTCGCGCTCTCGAGTCTCGCCTCGCGCCGGCCCTGCTCCTCCACACGGGCTCGCGTTCTGCTGACTAACGGCCCCGGCGCGAGGCTCTGGAGCGGCCGCCGCCGCCGCCGGCTGCTCTCGGGCCTCACGTCCCGCGCGGCCGTGGTCGCAGCCGCCGCCGCCGCCGCCACCTCCCTTTCTGGCACTGCAGACACCACCCAGACCCAGCCAGGTCTTTCTTCTCTTTAACCCTCCGTTCTTTGCTCCTCCTCAGCCTGCCACCGCGGGGCTAGCTCTGGTGGCGGGAGGAAGGCTGGAGGGGAACCGAGGGGGCGAGCAAAACCCTCGCTAAGGCAGGAGTTGGACACTGACTGGAGGAAGATGCCAAGCTGACCCGGGCTCCAGCCTGCGAGCGGGCCGGGGGAGGGACGCAGCGCAGCTTAGCCGGACTTCAGCCAATCACAAGACGCCCAGCGGAGTCGGGCGCCTGGAGAGGCTGAGCTGGGTCGGCAGGAGGCGGGGATTGCGGAAAAGAAGAACCAATCAAGGCAAAGGCTCCTTGCCCCTCCGCCTTGATGGACTGCCACGTTCGGACCAATGGGGGAATTCTCGCTTCGAAGGAAGCGGGATTTAGACGCCGGGATTGAGAGAGAGGCTGCGCGGAGGGGGATGGGTCGAGACTGGGCCGCGTGGAAGAACATTGAGGGTTTTGACTGACCAGAGGGAGTCCTTTGACCTCCGCGATGAGTCACGTGGGCCGACGGGGGCGGGGGCGGAAAGGCTGGATAAGTTCCTTCCGGGTCAGTGACAGAAGCGGGGACTCCGTGGGATAGTTCCTGCCGTGTTGGTTTTCCTCGCGTCTTCCTTGTACCAGCGCGAGGTGATTGTGGTTTCTACGATGAGCTCCCAGAAAGGGAACGTGGCTCGTTCCAGGCCTCAGAGGCACCAGAATACGTTTAGCTTCAAAAATGACAAGTTTGATAAGAGTGTTCAGACCAAGGTAGGAACCTGCCTGTTGCACCAAATCTGACAATGGGAAGGAATGGTTCAGTGAAGGGGAGAGAGGAAATGAGAGGAGTGGGGAGAGAGCGATTGTGGACCGCAGCCCAGAGTTAGTTTTGGCTGCAATGCAGCCTTTTCTAAAATGATATTCCCACGCCCTTTCTTTGACCTGGACGTGTTATCTCCTCGTAAATATATTTGGCGGTCAACATTTAACCAATTACATAGAGTGAACGGGACCCTCATCAAAACCTAAAATGCAAATGGAGAACTGAGCTGTTGAACGGTTCCCATCTGGATCACATATTTGCAGTAGGAAACGAGGATTATGGCACGAGTGTCTCTCAAAGTTTGCACCAAGTTTATGCAGCCACTATTTCTTTGTGGGAACTACAAGCCCATAGGTTTGTAGGGAGGATGTGAAGGATTAAGAGCTCTTAGCCCCAGTGTCCTCACCAACATAACTGTCTCTTTTGTAAGATTGTTTTGAGGATCAAATTATTTGGCTAATGTAAAAATTCTTGTTTTGTTGGTTATAAGTCATTTACTTCTTTAGGAGGGTGTCTGTGACCTGGAAGAAAATTCAGACTTTTGTTGTGAGGCTGAACTAAATGATGTATGCTTTGGTCTGGATCATAATTGTCCATTAGGTGATTAATTTCTCAACATTGAATAAGAAGGAAAGTAAACTGTTTATGGTAATCTGTGATCTTTTTTTTTCTGTCTTCACTTACCTTCTAGATATTTAATGAGCACCCTCCATGTACAAAACCCTATGTTCCTGTGTTTGCAGTGTTAAGAAGAGTAGAGCTTATATTCTTCTGGGTCATTGGATAACAAGCAAGCACAAAGATACATAATTACAAATTGCGATAAACTTGAAGTGCAAGATAGCTCAGTGAGGAAGGGTAAGGAGGGATATTTTCAACTGGGTGCTCAGAGGACCTCTCCGTTCCCTTATTTAGGCTCACATTCAGAAAGAAAACCTGCAGCAGCATTTGGGAAGACTTTCCCACGTTTGTGCTCATTAATAGGTAAACCAGGATAAAAAGCTGTGCTATTCCAAATAGATGCCTGTCTTGTCCTGTATTTTTGCTCTGAGCTTTTGCACAAGCATTTAATTCTGATTGGTTTTCATCAGATGGTAAAAAGCAGTTTTAATAAATGTTTAGCTACAATGTAGCTTCCTCTACCTCTTGTAGTTGTAAGTATAAGACTTCTTGAACTTGTACTTCTTGTACTTTTCATTGTTCATTTTCTTGGTGTTCTCTAACAACCATGTCATTACCCTCTGAAATCTTTTCATGAATCTCAAATTCATTCACAAAGTTTCATTTTATAACTTTTATCATCAGTTTCTTTGCATCTTTTAAATCCTGAGGTAGTCTCATTTGTCCATTGGTAGAATGAGCAGGTGTTTTGTTATTGGAGAATCTGACCAAAACAGCAAGAAATATTTTACTGAGGAAGATCAGGTTGATCATCTTTCTAATGGAGGAGTAATAATTGGCTCTGTTCATAGCAAATTCTTGAACCAGCTATGTGCAGCTATCTAAAGCCAAGATTTTGTCTGACCCCATCTTCATTCCTATGCTTTATACCAGAAAGCTGTTTGATTCAGTGCCATCCAACAAAGGAGTGGTGAGAGTGCATGGTTCTCTAACTCTCCTTAAAAGACTGTAGTGACGGGGCACCTGGGTGGCTCAGTTGGTTGGGCGACTGCCTTCGGCTCAGGTCATGATCCTGGAGTCCCGGGATCAAGTCCCGCATCGGGCTCCCTGCTCGGCAGGGAGTCTGCTTCTCCCTCTGACCCTCCTTCCTCTCATGCTCTCTGTCTCTCATTCTCTCTCTCTCTCTCTCAAATAAATAAATAAAATCTTAAAAAAAAAAAAAAGACTGTAGTGACAATTGCCTATTTGTAACTCATGAGTTTGTGGGAGTCCTGCATGATAGTATCCCTTTTCTGTCAACCATTTGGATAATGATAGATGTTCTATTGGGAGATTTGTCTAAGTAAAGCACCCATTCTCAAAAGGACACAGGTGATAGCTGTCTTCATGTTTGAATATACTCCAGAAGAAGAGAGAAGCTTATTCTGTAGCCTTCCAAATGGCTAAACTTGAACCAAAAGGTTAAAGTTACAGAGAGATTTCAGTTGAATATAAGGGAGTTGTCTAATAGAAGCATGCACTAGGATTTTGTAACCTCCCTTTCCCTGGGGTTATTTAAAAGAGGCCTCCATGGCCATTGGCCTGCAGTGTCCTCTCATGACTTGTCGAGATGGAATAGGTTTAAATCTCTTCTAGTCATTTAGTTCTAAAATGTTGTTTGTTTCAAGGCTGCCTTGTGTCCCTTTCTGGAAAGGCAGTGATGTGTAATTAAAAGAACATTGGCCTAAGAAAAAAGATCCACGTTAGCCTCAGTTCTGTTGTTTATTTTGCTTTGTTATGTTAGGCAGGTTACCTCTAGCTTTTAATTTACAATACAGGGTTACTGCTATCTCTTGTCCTATTTACTTCTCAAGATTGCTATAGGGATCATTACAAAAATATCTTTGAGAAATAGTCATACAAATATAAACTGAGCCTAAAGCATATGGTAATTTATATAGACTTGCAGTTGCTCAAAGCAATTAATAAAAAAGAATTGTGTACTTCTTGGAGAATATTGAAAATAGAGAAATGTATAAAGTGAAAGTACCTTTTCCCAGTCCTATCCCTCTTCAAATGTAGTCACTGTTAACAATTTTTTTTTGTTAACAATTTGTGTGTGTTTTTAGGTATCTATGCACAATATAGTATATATGTAATAAAGTACATTTTTTTTCTTATTCAATTAAAGTGGGTTTGTCAGAATACAGAGATTAAACTCAGTCTTTTTAATGGCTGTCTAATATAATATAAATGTAGAATACCTTAATTTCTTGTTAGTAAATGCTTGGATTGTTTTCAGTTTATTGCTGTGGCAAAGCTGCTGTAAAATTCTTGGATTCACATATTTGTTCCACATCTATTATCTGGCGCCAAACACTGTGCTAGATTCTAGAGGTATAGGGTTGAGCATAATATAGTTTGGTGGGCTAGATAAAAGTAGTAATCAAATAATTTTTCAAGTATGTTAATAGAAATCGCAGTAAGGGCGCTGAAGGAAGAGTCTAAGGAAACTTGAGGGTATCAAGCAGGAAGTCTTTTTTTTTTTTTTTTTTAAAGATTTTTCATTTATTCATTTGACAGAAAGAGAGAGAAAGCACAAGCAGGGAGAGCAGCAGGAGAGGGAGAAGTAGGCTTCCCGCTGAGCAGGGAACCCAATGGGATTCGGGATTTGATCCCAGGACCCTGAGGTCATGCGCCCCTAGCAGGAAGTCTTGATTAAGTTTAGAGGCTTAAAGAAGGCTTCCCTGAGATCTAAAGGATGGAGAGCATTTAAGTAAATGAAGTGGGAAGACCATATATCCTTCTTAAGAATACTATTTGTTTTATATATGTAGTTAGTGTTGTTTTATTAGCATTTTCCAAAGTGCGCCAGGATCACATCTTCTCCATAAGGCAGGAGTCAGTTTCATGGTTCAGTTACTTTGGAAATAGTACATTCTGGGTCTCGCTTTTAGGGTTCGTAGTGTACTTTGGCATACAACACTGAGAAGTTTTGCAGTGTAAAAAAAGTTATTTAACGAAAACTTGCTTGGTTAGGGAACCCTTTGGTTTGCATAATGCATAATGATTTCGAACTAATTTTGGGAGAAACACTCATTTGGGGGAAACTCTGGTCTTTACCTTCAAATGGAATAAGAAAATGAAAATCTGAGGCTATACTCTCTAAATCGTTTTGGGAATAAAATTTTGTTAGCAGTAACTAGTATTTGTATTCTTAAGTGTGTTAGCCACTACACATACTTGATATACATCATCTAATTTTGATCTTCAAAATGACCCTAAGGGACACCGAGGTGGCGCAGTCGGTTGAGCATCCAACTCTTGATTTCAGTTCAGGTCATGATCTCGGTGCTTTGGGATTGAGCCCCGTTGGCTCCGCACTTGGTACAGAGTCTGCCTGGGATTCTCTCTCCCTCTCCCTCTGCCCCTTGCTTCCGCTCACGTGTGCATGCTCCCTCTCTTTCTCTCAAATAAATAAATAAAATCTTTAAAAAAAAATGACCCTAAGATAGATGCTATAATTATCTTACTCTGTATATTGGGAAGTTAGGACTTAGTGGTAAGTGATGTGTCTACCCAAGTTACATAACTAGCACATGGCTAGCCATTCATTAGGTGATGTCTGTGCTAGGAGACCTCAAAAGACAAGTAAATCAAACCCCTTTTTTGTGTATGTGTGTTACAGTTGTTGTTGTTGTTCTTAAGTAACCTCTACACCCAATGTGGGGCTTCTCCTCACGACTCTGAGATCAGGAGTTGGATGCTCTATTGACAGAGCCAGCCAGGTGCCCCAGTGTTGTTGGGGGGTGTATGTGTGTGTGTTGCCTTGTTTCATTTATTTTTTTTCCAATGTTGTTTTTGAATACTGCATGTTTGTGTGTAATAGAAGCAGTGTGACACCACATTAGGGTCAGAACAGAGATGCACTTTATTGCCACTGCCCCTAAACACTACGTGTTTGAAATGTTCCAGAGAAAGAGTCTCTCCTCACCAGGTGTGACTGCCTGTCGTGTCACGTTATCACGGATGTGGGCTCGTTGGGGTAGGTCCCATCCGTTCAGCCAGGGCTCCGTGGCAGAGGTGGGGCTCCTTCCACTCCCTTCCTGTGATGCTTATACAGTCAGATCCCTCAGCTTCTGGTTAGGCAGAAAGCTGTCTTTTTTTTTTTAATTTTTTATTTATTTGCGCAAGAGAGAATGAGAGACAGAGAGCATGAGAGGGAGGAGGGTCAGAGGGAGAAGCAGACTCCCCGCCGAGCAGGGAGCCCGATGCGGGACTCGATCCCAGGACTCCAGGATCATGACCTGAGCCGAAGGCAGTCGCTCAACCGACTGAGCCACCCAGG